GGAGCTGTCGCAGCTGTAGTGGCCAAACCGCTTGAGGTCTCCTGGCGCGACTAGCTAGCCGAACGAGCCGCAGCTAAGATGGGAGGTCTAGGAAAGTTGCCCCGGGCACCCGCCGCGCGCTCAGTGCTCAGCTTGCTAGATTTGCCCAAGCAGCAGCGAAGCGCGCCCTGGGCCTTCGTCGCCCAGAGCATCTGGACAGCGTAAGGAGCACTTTCAGCCGGGCACGAGAATCCCCATGGATGCCTACGTGGACACCACAAAGATGACCTCCAACTCCGCTTCCTAGAATGCCCATAGTTCGCCAGCGGGAGCCTTAGGTTGAAAGAGCCCATTCCGGATGCGTCTCCCGTCCATCTCGGTTCCAAGTTTGTTCCCAATGGTGTCGTGAACCTTCTTGGCGGCGCCGGTTTGTTGTCGGCCCACGCCTGGCGCGATTAGTCTGATTTAGCAAGGCTTGAGGATGCGCTTCGGGGATGCGTTGTTTGGTGGGATGGTAGTTGCATTTGCCTTGGTCATTATGATGTCAACGCCGCTAGGTTTGCCGTGGGCTGCATGCGCGACGGAGCGGAGCTCGCCGCGCACAGCGGTCGCGTTGGCAGCCTGGCGTCACAAGCTTCGGGCGCTGCCGAACAACTAGCCGCTGTCGCGCCAGGCGGCCTGTCCTCCCATTTGTCAGAGCGTGAATTACCTACTCCGCTTTCGCTTCCAGGCAAAACCAAGTCATACCACGCGCCTCCTCGTCAAGCGGCCTGACCAGTACATGCCGTGGTTTGGCATCGCTTGGTATCTCTTGGAAGCGAGGGTGGTCAAAAGCGAGGTAGGTTTGTTTGCCCCCGAATTTGTTAAGTACGCACTGTGGCTATTAAGGAGTGCGTTCAACTGCGTAGCGGCGAGGATTCCCCAGAGCGCTAGCGTTGGGCGGGGATCAAAGCGTTTCCTGGCAGAGGCCGTTATCGTCTGGGCCCGCTGCTCCGGAAGATGAAAGCTCACTAGGACATTGAATCTTTGACCCCCGAAAGCGAAGAATTTTAATTTACCGGCGGCTGTGATACCATAGGCTGGGTTGCCGAGGCCGCTGCGAACCTTGGTGGCCACTCCGTTTTCGCCGATGTAGAGCAGCATCAAAACGATACCGACTCTGCTTAAGAGATACCTGCGATATGCCGCTGAAGCCTTCGGAGTGGCCTGCAATAGCCCCGCGAGGAAGCAGCGCGCTGGCCAAGCCTGTGAAGAGCCTCTCCCCTCTCTCTGGGGCTGCCTCGGCCTTGGCCTCTTGGGACCCCGTGGCTCCTGGCCCTGTGCCCCTTTCCGCCTACTCCGCCGCCTGCTGTGGCCCTTCGCGAGCTTCCGAGGGCCCGCGTCTTCGCGTTTGCCAATGTCCAGCGCCGATGCACGATCTGCCGCATCCGCGTCCGCACCTACAAAGCCGAGGAGGAACGAATGCTTGCTACGGGTTGCTTTGGGCATTGCGCTCCAATGTCCGATGTCGCGTCTAACCCCGAAGGGGGGATGTTTTTCCTTCTCTGGGAACCCCGAACAGCCCACAAGCCTTCATGTGTGTCATCGCTGTGGTCATTTCAAGCAGGGTGGCTCGCGAGGACCCCAAGGCCAGTGCAGCATGGGACCACCCCGCAGCGAAGCCAAGATGCAAGTGCAGCATGCAACGTCGGGCGGCCGCCCACAGTCCGATTGTGTTTAGCCTTCCACCCGTCCCCCTGCTTCAGCAAGTGAGTGAAGTTCGTGCAGTAGCTCAAGCAGGCCAGGAAGTCGACGGCCTGTGCAGCCGTCGGTGGATGCACTCATTCGCCTCTTCCCTTTTCTTCGGTTGCTGGTCCCCCCCGCTGGGTGGACCTGGCTCCGCGTTGTGGCCCATCGGTTTCATATGAGATGCGTTTTGTTCTGCGTCTGTTGAACGGGCGTTCCACATTGTGCGTTGCACTGTGGCATGCGTATCAGGCACCCCTGGTGCCGCACACTTCGGGGCTTCGACGCTCAGGGCGGCGTGACAGCACTCGCACATTTGTGGTGCTCGGGCCTCTGCCGTTCTTTTGCCTCCTGTAGAGGGTCGAGTTCTCAGCTGCATGCGGAGGGCTGCTGCAGCCGGAGACAAAAGACCAGGAACTTAAGGTTTCGGGGTATGGTCGGGTCGGACAACCCATAGCCTTCTTATCAGCAACCACGTGCTAGTTCCGTCTCAGACTCCTTTCTCATCCCAAGGTTTTGTTGGCGACTTTTCGTGTGGCGCTCCCGGCTTGCACGGTGGTCGTAGGTCTCAAGATGTGGTTCCGTTTCTGCTTAGTCGAATGGAAAACATCCCTCCTGCTGCATTCATTACCCGACCTCCCTCTGTCGTCCGTCCTCCCTCCTTCCATCTTCCCGTTTTCCCCTCCGCCTCTCACAGTACATACACGTATATGTTTTCATGTTTGATGCACTGCAGAGATGTGTGAGGAAGAGGAGGAGGAGGAAGAGGAGGAGGAGGAGGAGGAGGAACGGGAGGCAAGAGGGGAGGAACCAGGAAGAAGGTCGAGGAGAAAACCAGTGGAGAGGACGAAGGGGTGGGCGGGGGCGTGGACGGCGTGCTCCGCCGGCCTCTTGCAGCGGAGCGAGTGCGGGGGGGGGGCGAGGAGCAGCCGTTTTTCCTTTTTCGCTCAGGAACGTACCGGGGCCAGCTCTTTGCCATTCACGAGCCTTTGAGGGACTCGGAGATCGGCGGTCTGGGCGGTGCCGCCTGGCTCACGTTCGACCAGTTGTTTGCCATTCGTCCGGTGTTCAATTAGGGGCCCCTTGTTGAGCGCAGCCCTGCAGCTTTCGCGCCGAAGACCGCCGAGGACCGTCAGAAGACCGGCGAAGACCGCCCGATGACCACCGAAGACCGCTGAGGACGGCACAGGAGCAATGGGTAACAAGTTGTCCATGGTCGAACACGTAGCATTCAGGAGCCTTTGAGGGACACGGAGATCGGCAGTTTGGGCGGTGCCTCCTCGCCCATGTTCGACCAGTTGTACGCTTCCCCAACAACGCAGAGATGTGTTGCCCACCGATGTGCTGGAGATGAGGGCCTGTGCCAAGAAGGATTGGCACCCAGGGCCCCCGGATCTCAGCTGAACCAAGAACCTCGAAACACACACACATGCACACGTCCCTCAAGGATTCTCCGTATTAGAGCCCTTGCCTGTCATTCTCGGCGTGGCAAGCGGTGGCGCAAGTGGCTTGTTGGTCATGTCGTGTCTCGCTGGCGCCACCCGCATCTTCCCCTGGATGGGTTTGTGAACGGCCATTGGAGACGTCACCTGGCCCACATGTTGGCTTCTCGCCTTCTCCCAGGCCCTCACGCTGCTCCGATTGGTTCCACAAGCGTGGGGAGGTGGATATCCCGTGGGGGTGTGGGGAGTGGGCTGTCCTTCGCGGGGCGTGGAGGGGCTGGGTCGCTCGAGGGTGTGGCTTCGGTGGGCGTGGGGGCGCCGGAACGGGCCGTCGGGCGGGGTGGCACGGGGAGCGCGACCAGAGTTCTGCCAGGCTGTGTTCCCACTCGGCGGCTCTCTCTCTCTCTCTCTCTCTCTCTCTCTCTCCTGCGGGGCCGCTCAGCTGTCGTGCCTTGCCGCTGCCCTCGTACCTTCCCGCGGTCTCCGAAAACACCCACCAGGAATTTTAAGAAACACATCGAGTTCCATTGACTCCAGATTTCGCTCAAGACAATGAAGAATCTGGACTGAACCCTTGGCGTTTTCTTTGAGTTGTTTCTTCCCCACATGTTTTGTGGGGTTCTTGTTTTCTTCCCTGCCGCGACGCACTCGCGTCTCACCTCCCTCTCCTCCTCTTCCTTTCTCCCCTCACCCGCGCGCAACACATGCACGGCACGTACATGAGACGCGTCTGCATACCGCCTCACATGTTTCGTGGGGTTCTGGATTTCATCCCTGCCGCGTCGCACCCGCGTCTCACACCTTCCCCCTCCCCTTCTCCTTCTCGCTTGCACACGGACATGCAAGACGCATGCGCCACATACTAGCATCCACATGATACGCACGTCCACGTACAGCCGTACACGCATCATACATTACCCTCATTGAGACGCACGTCGTCGCACCCTCACCCACGCGCAACGCATGCACGGCACGCACATGGGACACGCGTATACATGCGGTCTCTTTGCGTCGCAGGCGCACACAGCACGGCGGGCGCAGCACTTTCTCGACGCCAGAGAGTGTGCGCAGGGGGTGCGGTCTCTATGCGTTGCAGGCGTGCAGGGCGCGGCAGGCGTGGCAATGTCTCGATAACAGAGGGGTGCGCGGGGGGTGCGGTCTCTATCCGTTGCAGGCTCGCACGGCGCAGCAGGCGTGTCATATTCTCGACACCAGAGGGGGTGGATTTGGCGTGCGGTCTCTATGCGTTGCAGGCGCGCAGGGCACGGCAGGCGCGGCACTTTCTCGACACCAGAGGGGGTGCACAGGGGGTGCGGTCTCTATGCGTTGGAGGCGCGCAGGGCTCGACAGCTACACCAGAGGGGGTGTATTGGGCGTGCGGTCTCTATGCGTTGCAGGCGCGCAGGGCACGGCAGGCGCGGCACTTTCTCGACACCAGGAGGGTGCGCAGGGGGTGCGGTCTCTATGCGTTGCAGGCGCGCAGGGCGCGGCAGGCGTGGGAATTTCTCGACACAAGAGGGGGTGCAGAGGAGGTGCGGTCTCTATGCGTTGCAGGCGCGCCAGGCACGGCGGGCGTAGCATGCTCTCGACGCCAGAGGGTGTGCGCAGGAGGTGCGGTCTCTATGCGTTTCAGTCGTGCAGGGCGCGGCAGGCGTGGCAATGTCTCGATAACAGTGAGGGTGCGCGGGGGGTGCAGTCTCTATCCGCTGCAGGCTCGCACGGCGCAGCAGGCGTGTTATTTTCTCGACACCGAGGGAGGAGCTTCACGTGTTGGGTGATAAATGGGGAAGCATTCGCGACGAGAGTTCAAGACGTAGGATTGCGGATGTACTGTAATGATAAGCAAACGAGCAAGATTTATCATAAGTATGTGGGGCTCCTCGGTAGCGTAATCTTCGTGGAGTGTTCTTTTGTGTGGACCTGGACTTGGTTTTCTCCGGTTGAGAAAGCACCTGGTGTGAGGCGCAGCATTTTCCTTATTCTAGGCAGGGGTGTAGGCCCGCCCCCTCGCGGGAGCACCAGTCCAGGAGGTCGGCGCCGCGGCTGCGCAGCCATCTGCCCGCAGGCCGCCGCGCGCTGCACAGGGGCGCGGGCCCCTTGCGGGGGCGCGGGCTGCGGGGCGCCCCTCGCACGGCCTCCGCTGCACCCTTCGCAACAGAGTGGCGGCGCGCACCAGGGCTTGGCATCGTTCGGACGTGTGCGTAATGTCCTCGGCGAGGGCCATCGAAGCGCGTCCTGGATCATCGGCAGGAAGAGCACGCACGAAATCAAAAACATGCACAGGGAGTGGACGTCCGAGCGACGGCAAGAACGGGGCGGCGCGAGAGGGGGGGCCTCCTGAGAGGACGGGGGGGCCCTGAGAAAGCAGGGCCCGAGGCTCCCCATATGTTGGAAGGCCCCAGAGACCAGAGGCTTCCGAGAAGGCCTCTCTCGAAAGGCAGGAAGATGCGTGAGAAAAACCTAGCCTTCTTAGATGCCCCCCGCCTTCGTGGCAGGCCCCCCCCCATCGGCGCCCCCCCCCACTCTTGTGCGCGCCGCCAACAAGAGGCCTGGAGATGGGGGCCGTATTGCCGAAGCCGGTGGAGTCCACCGTGATCGAGCGGCGGGCCGCGGGGCCTTTCCGCGTGGGCATCGCGGAGATCTTTTGGCTGAAAAGCTGGGCTGCAGGGGGTTGGGGGTGATAGGTGCCCAGAAGCAAACGGGGCCTGTCCGTCCGGGAGGCTCCTGGATGCGTATGGGCGCGGGCCGGACTCGCGTTCGGATGCCGTGGTCGATGTTTCGGGGAACGCGCTGGGCTTCGGCCAGATTTGGGGGGCCTGTGGGGGCCCCAAACCCTCGTGTTTTCCGCCGCCCCTCCGGCGGACAATGCAGGCGTCGAGAATTCATGCCCTCGCGCATGTGCTGGGCGGCCTCACCATGGTAGCTCATCGCCTCGTCTGCCCACCCCTGGCCGTTTAGCCAGCCCGAGGAGATGAACGGTTGGCGTAGCAGCATGGAGGACGCCCACCTCATCCACATGCAGCCCGACTGGGGCTTCTTCGGCGTTTTCGACGGCCACGGGGGCGACAAGTGCGCGGGCTACGTCGCTGGGCGTCTGGGCGAGGATCGAAGAAGAAAGCATCGCAGATCAGCATCAACGCACCAAACACACTGAAACTGTGGGTACGTGGGCGCCCCAGGGGCGACGCGCGCGCGCGCCCTGAAATCTTACAGTATCTGCTATGTGGTGGGCGCTCTCTGGCCATACCGCCTGGGTAACGATATGCTGTGATCTGCCTGCGGTACATGATCCGTTCGGACGTGCGCCCCCCAAGGGGGGTGCATGGTGCTATCCTGTCCTTCGGCAGCCAATGCGTAGGCACAAACTTGTGGAGGTCCGCGCAGATTGATTGGATCGGCGCTGGACCCCTCCTCGGCACGCGGAGCGCGCCAGGGGCGGCGCAGGAGGCGCCGCCAGGGGGGTTCAGCGCTGATTCAAGAAATCTGCGCGGAGTTCCGTTTTTGATGTGCCTCGGCAGGAGTTGCGGCGGCACGGTTGCCCCGAGGACGACGCGGCGCTGAAGCAGCTGGTGCTGGGCGTGGATAAGGCCTTCCTGGCAACTCGGCAGCCCAGCGGCTCCACGGGCACCATGTGCATCGTCCACAGTTCCAGAGGACGATGAGGGGCAATGTTATAAGGGGGGGCTGGGCTCCCAGGGGGGGGGACGCCTGGACCGCCGATCGTCCATGGATCGCCGATGGGGGCCCGACATCCCGCCCCGCGCTGGAGCGTGCGCATTCGCTCTCGGGGGCCTCCCGCCGATCTGTCGGCGGTGTATCGCCGATTCCACGTCGGTGTTTCCTCCCCGGAGTCGGTTCCCTCCTGGACGTTTCCCCTCGGGCGAGGGCAGAACTTTTGGATATCTTTGGGGTCCGAGGAAACATGCAAGCAAGAAAGAGCACGTGGGAGCCTGCTTTCCTTCATGCCCTTCGCGAAGTGCGAGCAAAGCCAGGCCTCTCCAGCTGCCCTCTGCGTGTGCTTCCAGCACGCGGGCAAGCCTGCAGATCCACGGCGAGAGCTCCAGAGAGCGATTTCTGAGTCCGGGTTACATTTTCGACTGCGATCCCATCCGTGGTGTCCGGAAGTTCTGCCCTTGAACCGGAGGACGGGGCAAGTTTCGGTTGCGCGTCGCCAACTGCGGTGACAGCAGAGTCTTACTAGGAAAGCGCGACGGCACAATAGTGGACGGCGGGGGCACGGATCAAGGCCTCACCACCGACCACAAGCCGAGCCATCCGGGGGAGCGGCAGCGCATTTACAGGTGCCGGCGTCGGAGGAGAGGAATATGATTCTCCACCCGCCGTGAGGCGAAGTCGAGTCGCACCCAGCATCCGCCAGCCCACCATGGCATTCGGAGTGGACGAAGAAGGGGGAGGGGGGGTCATCTCGGCTCTGTCGATTCGAATCGTTTCGGTCTCAGCAATGTCGAGTCGATTCGATTCCAGATTCCGATTCCGGTTTGGATTTCCTCGTGTATACCCCAGCTCGGGCCGGCGGATGTCGATGCCGATGCCTTCCGATCGGCTTGCCGATTTGTGTCGATTCGGTGCATTCAGATGGCCGATCAGATTTCCCGATTCGATGTTGGGTGATCTTCGGGTGGGAAAGGGAAGGTTCAGAATCTGTCGCGTGCAGCTAGTTATGGCCATAGTCACTCCAGGCAGGCGCCCCGAGGCGCCCGAAATCGCTCACGCGCAGAGGGGGATGGGGTAGCGCTTTCCTCGAAGTAGGGGTGTTTCTAAGAAGCCTTCCCCCCTTCCCCCCCCCCCCCTCTGCGCGCGCAGCTTAGTGGCTAACCCCCACCCCTTTGCTCGGGGAGAGAGACGCGCTGACCACGACCAAGATGTCGCGGAATCTCGTCGACGAAGTTCTTGGCCATGGTTTAGTCATGGTACATGCCAGCCGACGTTTCCGCGTTCAGTCTTGGTCATGGTCGCCTAAACACTTCTCACGATTTTGACAGTGGGTTCTTAAAAATCATTCACTGGCCCTTTTCCAGGGATGCGCTGTGACCAGACCTCCGAGGCGAATCGAACCGTGGTGGCGGGAAGTTTCCAAGAAACCCCCAAAGCACAACTCCGGGCGTTCAGGAACCTCTGCCTTTGACCTTCGAAGGACCCCCCGCGCGTGTATCCAGCGCGTGGTCTCCGCGTGCCCCACGTGTGGATCCAGCCAGGTGGGGGGGGGGCGCCCTCCAAGCTGGACCATATCGCCTTCGGCGCGTCTCGCTGTCGGCGGGGAAGCCGGCGGAGGTAAGACGGGAGCGGGCCCGTGAGGGAAAGCCAGCGGAAGGTCGGCGGAAGGCGGCGGAAGTGAGAATGAATCGGCCCCGTTGGAGCGCAGAGCAGACGCCGTAAGCGACATGCCGATGCGCGAGCCAGAATGTATGGGCAAGGGGAACGCGGCATTGCGGCGAGCGGTACGGCTGTTACTGGTGATCGGCGTATGTTGGTGTCTAGGCAAGCGCTACACGGAAACACCGGCCGCCGCGCTCGCGTGAAGCGTTGTGTATCAGAGCATCGGGACGAGGCAGCAGTCGGTGCAGTCTGTCTTTCGTGCCGTGCACCTCGCGGAAAAAAGGAAACCAGGAAACGCATCAGGAGCGCCGAGTAGCAGGTATGGGGCTTCACCGCCGAGTCTCTGAAGGTGGCTGGGCGTACACACGAGCTGATGATCATGACCAGGGAAGCTGGAGTTGCGCTGTTTTGTATTCGAGAGACCCACCCTGATATGAACATACCGTGGCGATGGAGGGTTTCAGCATCCGGCCCACCCAGAGGGCCCCACCGAGAATGGATGGCTGCACCATCGTCCACAACACGAATCTGTTCCACGACTAGGAGAAGATATGCGGACGGGAGGAAGACTGCAAGGGCTGAAGCTGAAGCGAGACCACCACCACGAGCGCGATGTGTACGTCTTGAACGGGTACGCACTTACCAGCGATGCGAGCATGCCAGGAGCAGGAGTCAACAAGGCGGAGCACTGGGACTAGCACGAGAAGTTGAGACTCGAGTTTTGGGAATTGTGACGCATAGCGCCGAGTCGAATCCCAGCTCGCACTTCGTTAATCTTCACGCTCGACGCGAGCGCCCAGGTTCGCGCCGTTCCTGCCTTGGGCCGGGGACGCGGGCCGCAGGCACATGAAGCACACCACCATCAATGCCAACGGACACAACTTGATGCAGATTATGGAGCATTTCGAACCAAAGGTTTTGAACATCTTCGGGGGCAGGGACAGGTTCAATTGCACGTTGAAGAGGCCAGACCAGGGGTGGAATACCATGAACTTCGTTCTACGTCGGAGAGCTGGGGGATATGGGATATATCCGAGACAGATGTGGACGTTGCCAGTTAACCTTGATATATAGTGACCACCGCCCCTCGCCAGCCGAGTACACGTTACGTTGGACACAACGTGAACAAGATGCAAAACGCCAGAATCGATTAATTGTGACAGACTCGAGATATTGAATGATTCGAGGCTCGTATGTCACATCGCAAAGATATGATGGCCCAGGAGCCAAAGTAGACGGCGGCGCAGTTATTCCCGGAAGAGTCCAGCGGTTCATAGCTGCGTTGCGAGCAGCATTGGACGCCCAGAACCTGCGCGACGACTGGCAGGACATCTGCAGACCAGGACGCCGCTACCCAACGCCGAATGATTTTTTTTTCGAGCTGGAGGGCGCCATCATCGACGCTGCGGCCCCGATCTATGCCAGCGAGCAGTCCACCTTTTCTCAAGCTAGCCCTCGAGTCGGATACATGAGTGCTCACCGAAAAGCGCAGAGCCTGGCGGCGCCTGGCCCAGGTAGCCGAGGCGGGGCCCCCGTTGCACAGCGCGGCATTAGCGGGGCTCGCCCGAGTGAGCCGCGCGGCCCAAGGTGTGGCCCGCAGCGAACGCAGGCGCGCGCTGGCGTCAACCGCGGAGGAAGCCGAGGCCGCAGCTGCCGGAGGCGACCCGCGCGCGACGCGCGCCGCCATCAGGAGACTCGCCCCCGAGGAGGGGGCGCCGCCGAGCGTCGCGGCGCGCAGCCCATCCATTGTCGCGGAGTGCTTCGACGGCGCAGGGGGCGCGATGGCGCGCGCGAGAGCCCAGTGCGACATCCGCGCCGCAGGGGCCATCGAGCTGAAGGGTTTGCGGGGCCACGCGAGCACGAGGATCAGGGATGGCGGGAGCGTCGGCCCGCGCGGCCTCGAGGAGGTCAAGAAGGCAATCGAGGCGCTTCGGGGCCTCGATGGGGGCCCCCGAGTTAAAGTGGCCCGACCGCGGGCCAGCTTGGGTCGCAGCGGCAGACATCTAGGAGCTAGCATGGACGGCGTCGCGGGCCCCAGCGCGCAGATGCTCTGGGCTTCGCGGGCTAGGGGCGCAGCGGCCCAGCGCTGTAAGGGCGCCGAGGTTGTTTTCACGATCGCGCCGAAGGGGGTGGAAGCTGTTCTGCATCTCATTGCAGAACGTTGAGCTTGACCAGGCACGTCGGGAGAGCATGCGCCTAAATCGACTCCCTGGGCGCGCCGCGCAGAACCCCCTGCCGGATATCGCGCGCGCAGTTCGGCGGCGCGTGGAGCGGAAGCACCTGCGACGCAGCGGCGACCGCGAATATCATCATTCAAAGATACCGCCACGCTTGCTCTAGCTCCCGCGCAGGGAAGTCCGTCGCGAAGCCGATGCCAAAGACGAGCTCGCTCGACTGAGAAGGCCGTCGACGTCGGTGGGTGCCCGCGCATCTGGGAGACTCGCGAGCATCGGGGCGCGCCGCGACGCGCAGTTGATCGCGGAGGAGTTGCGCGACGGAACGCGCCGCGCCCTGCGGGGTTTCCGCGCGCGAGGCCCAGTCTACAATATCTACAATATCTAGACGAAGAGAGGCGCGCGCCAGGGGGTGGCGGGAACCCCGACGCTCCCCGTCGCGCACAGGGATGCCATCTTCGCCGAGGCCCTGTCCAAGCAAGGGGGCGAGTTTCGAGATGCTCCTTGCCAGGTTCGACTCGGCGCTGGCGGCGCTGCGCTGCACCGGCCCCCTTGAGTGCGAGGGCCGCGCGGCCGTCCGCGCGGGGCAGGCGCGTGCCTTGACGACCTGCTCGTGCCCCAGGTGGCCGAGGACTTCGAGCGGGCGGCCAGGTTCCTGCAGTTCGCCATCCACGAGATAGACGCTCGCGAGATGAATATCAACACCAGCAAACCCAGGCACTGTTCGCGTTTGCCGGCCGCGGGGCTCGCATGCGCCGACAATGAGTTTAAATTGAGAGCGCGGGCGTCGAAGCCTCCGCCGACGACGAGGCTTCGGCAGCGAGCGCTACCCCGTTCGCCAGGCACTTGGGCGCAAGCCTGGCAGCGGACGGCAGCGCCAGCGATGAGGTGACCAACAGGCTTCGCGCAACCAACGCAGCGCGCGCCAAATCGCGCAAGAAGATCGTGAGTTTGGTTCAGCGTGAGGCTTCTGTCAGAATGTGGAAGATCTATCTTCCCAGCTGCCTGGAGGCCCAGATGCTCGCCCATCGACATCAACTTTCTCGTGGCGCGGCAGATGGTCAAACTGAGGCCCCTTGCCCGCTCGCCAGCGCGCGTGGCGGAGTTCCCAGCCATCAGACACGGATGGGCACGAAGTCGCCTGCGATCCGCGCATCAGTCTTGAAACGAGGAAACCGATGGCGGACCCGCGCCCTCTGGCCAGCGCCCAGGGAAGCTGGCGAGGAGCTCCGCGACCCCTCGCGCGCGGCGAGGGCTTGCACCTCCGGGCATTTTTCTCGAGGCTGGCGGCCGTCTCGAGGCGACCTCTCAGTCGAGCGCGCCGAAGACCGACCTGCTCGCGCTCTGGGGCGCCGCCCCGCCCATGGATGAGCCGGCTGCTCTTCGCGAGTAAGCGTTTGTGGTAATTCTGGGCGCGGGCGACCTCGGTTGCGCTGGCTGGGTCGCGCGACAAAGTATGCGCGTCGGCGCGCGGGGGCGCGCGGCTGATCGCCTCGCGCCGCTTGCTGATCGACCAGAGACAGTGGACCCCGTGCCCAGAGCGCGGGGAACAATGCCACTGGGAATCATGGCCGGCCAACCACGGGCTCTCGGCGCACCGAATCATCCTGATGTTGGCCGAAGTGCCGTTCACAGCTGTCGCCGGCGCGTTCGCCAGTCGAAGGCCGCCCAGAAAGACAGCCTACTCAAGCGCGTTCGAGTGCGCTGCAGGCCCGCAGCTGCTGAGCCTCAAGGCCCGCGACCATCGGGGGGACCTGCGGTCGCGGAGCCGATCCATCCCGCGCCCCAGCCCCACGGCGCAGCTTACGATGTCGCCGTTCGCCCCGCTGAACGAGGCGAAGCAGGCGCCCGAGAGGGGGGCGGCAGAGGCGGGGGCAGGGGCGGGGCCCGACGACGGGGGCGACGAGGGCGCGGTGAGCAGCTTGCCGGGGAAAGCGCCGCCCATGCTGCTGCTTCAGCACGAGGGCGCGCCGAGGGCGGGGGCGCGCGACGACTGCGCGGCGGCGGCGTTGAAGACGGGCCCCTAGCCAGACGCGGCGATGGTCCAGGCCACTGGCGCGCATGACCAGGCTTGGCAGCGGGCGCGCGAAAGTGCCAGGGGCAAGGGCGATAGGCCCAGAGGCAAACCCGCGGACAAGAAGCCCGAAGCGATGGGCAAGGCGCTGATCTCCAGGTTCGGCGAGGCGATCAAGACGACCTAGGAGCAGGCGTCGAAAAGCAATCCAGCAGCGCCGAGCGCCCATCGAATCAACCGAGGCAGCCTGGATCGCGATGCAGCACTCGGCCATGGCAATGCAGCCGCAGCCTGACGCGAAGTTCAGGATGTCGAGACGTTCCCAGGTGACAGCGGAGGGCACGCAGGGCAGAGAGCACGAAACGAGGTGGATCATGGCGGCGAACGGCTAACCCACACTCAAGCAAACGCTGTTCCAGCTGAGGACCAACGGGGGCCTGGCGGCGCGCGAAATCAACCTGTCGGGCGACTTCGCCCCTCGCAGCCGAGCGGCCAAGCTGGTGGAGAAGCTGGCGTTCGGGCGGGGAGCGGGCGCCAGCGCCCCTAGGAGGAACACGCGAGCGAAGAAGTCGGGCAAGTGAGTGAGGGAAGGACTAGAGCAGTCAGTAGGCAGAGGACCTTAGGATAGTTTGTCATGTTTTGATGCCCCCGGCCCTGGGCGGCCCCACCCCTTATTGCCGTGGCCCTCCAGTGTCGAGGTATTCGCGATGTTGTTAGGCATCTTGTGGTACGGAGCTCGCCTGCCAGGGCCCCGTCTTGATGTTTGATTACTGCTGGATTCGTTCGGTGCGTCCCAGGGTCCCGCCAGCAGATGGGGCCTCCGCTGCTCCTCGCAGAGCCACCCCCACTGAGGTGGGGTGCGTTCGGGGCCGGGGTGAACTCTTGGGCCTTGATTATCCAGGCACCCTTACCGCAGGGCATCCGATCTAGTTTTTAGACTGCGCTCGGCATGTGTAGAGACCGGACAACGCCCGCTACGACATTTCCCATAACGGAATAGGGAAGGAAGATAATCACAAGGAAGTGTAATGATATGCCACCACTTTTCAGGTTCAGGCGTTCTTCCAGTCCTCTCAACGGTCCATATTGATTCGACCGTTCGGTTTCGACATCGATTCCAGTTGGCCCGATCCGATCCGATTAACGATGTTCTGAAGATCCATTGCGGCCCGATGATTGCATGGCGTCGTTGCGCATTCTGACGCAACCGGTCCGATTCGATATCGCTTGCGTGCCGACGCAGACCTATCCAAGACTCACTGCGCTTCGATCCCATTTCCTGGCTCGAAGGAGGACAAATTGTTGACGCTTCGCGTATCCCCACCAGCCCATCCAGAAACGATGCTCAGGGGAGTTGAGGTGATCAGGGAAGTCGAGGAGCATGCAGAGTAACAAAGGGCGGGGGAAGCTGTCACAGACCCCGAGAGGGGGAGGATGGAAGAGGAATCGTCGTCGGGGGAGGAGGAGGAGGAAGAGGAGGAGGAGGAGAAGGAGGAGGAGGAGGAGGAGGAGGATATGGAGTAGGGCGAGGACGAGGAGGACGAGAAGGATGAGAAGGGACATAGGGAGGAGAAGGAGGAGAAGGAGGAGAAGGAGGAGGAGGGGGAGGAGGAGGACGAGGAGGGTGGAAGAGGAAGAGGTGGTGGAGGAAGAGGAAGAGGAAGAGGACGGCGAACCGAAGAGCCAGAAGCGTCTTGAATGCCTTTTTCGGAAACCCTCTTGAGGCTTCTTGGGGGTCTCTTGGGAGCCTCTTGGAGGCCTCTTGGGCGCCTCTTGGGGACGTCTTGGCGCCTCTTGGGGCGCTCTTGGGGCGCTTTTGGGGGCTGTAGGGGCGCTCTTGGGGCCATCTTGGAGAGAGTCGATCAAACAAGAGGGGAGCTCCAATTAGCCTCCCCCCTCGGGAGCCCCATACATCGCCTCTTGGGCCTCTCTTGGAGCGCTCTTGGAGCGCTCTTGGGCGCTTCGGGGGCCGTCTTGGGGCTCTCTTGGGCCTCTCGTGGGGCCCTTTTGGGCCATCTTGGAGCCATATTGAGGCCTCGGATGTCCATCGGAAGCGAAAAGGCGATAAAGCAAAAAACATTGTTTTTCATTTGGTTTTGGGACGATTTTGGCCTCGTCGGGGCCTCCTTAGGGAGCTCTTTGGCCACTTGGACCGTCTTGGGGCCGTCTTTGGGCCTCTTGGAACCATCTTAGGAGCCATCTCGAGCGATCTTGCGCTATCTTGAGCCATCTTGGAGCTCATCTTGGGCTTTCTGGCGCGCTTTTGAAGCCATCTTGGGGCCAAAAGAGCCGTCCGACCGCTCGCGGAACCCTCCGTCCAGGTCCAGGGGAGGGGGTAGGGGGAGGGGTAAACCCCTCCCCAAGGGGGAAGAGGGAGGGGTGGAAGAGGATCTGTTCTAGACCACCTACGCCCAGAGGGCTGGTGGGATTGTTCAAACATACTATTTCGGAGATCGGCGCAGATTTCTTGGATCGGTGCAGGACCTCTCAGGGAAGGCGCCGCAAGGGAGGTCCAGCGCCGATCGAAGGAAGCCGCGCGGACCTCCGAGCGCATGGCGGGGTGGCATGCGCGAAGATAGGTAACCTGGTCGTTTCGATCCGACGTGATGTCCCTAGTCGGTGCGGACCGATCTCGCCCTCCGCCCCAGTGACTGCGACGACGACGACGACGACGTCGACGACGTCGACGACGTCGACGACGACGACGATGACGATGACGACGACGGCGATGACGACGACGGCGTCCTCCACACGCCGAAGGGTCGGCGGATTTCTTGATTCGGTGCTTGCCGATCCTGCCCTTAGCCCCGAGGTGCGGGGGCCACGTCGAGGAGGCCGCCGGCGGCGTGCCGCGCGTGAACGGCGAGCTGGCCGTTTCCCGCGGTTTCGGGGACGCGGACTTCAAGAAGACCGGGGGCCCTGGCCCCGAGGACCGCGGGGGGCGGACCTTCAGGGGCAACGATAAAGGGGGGATAGGCATATTGGGGGGGGGGCGGGCGCATCGACTCCCGATCGTCCAGTCATCGCCGACAGGGGCTCGATTGCCCCACCCCGCCCAGGAGCGTGTGGATTTGCTATCGGGAGCCAATCGCCGCTTTATCGGTGATGTATCGCCGATTCCGGGTCGATGTTTCCCCCTCTATGCCAGCACCCCCATCGTTGCCCTTCAGGGGTTCCCTTCTGGGGGTCTTGGCTGGGGGCGTCCTAGAGGCGGGTGAGGATGACGTCTGTGCGTGCGTCGTGTGTGTGTCTGCCTGTTCGTGTGTGATTACTGCCACCATCCAGCCCATTCATCTGCTACGCCAGGTGGAAATTCGCGCCAGCGTGCCCCAGCTCAGCGTTTCGCGAAGGTGCCGTCCTCTCGCGGACTTCAGTATGAAGGGGCGCACAGGCCCCGAGGACCACGCGGGGGGAGGGCCACGGGGGGGTCGCGAGGTGGGGGCGGAAAAATTCGGAGTCCTGGAGGTTGGCACCCACACCAACATCGGCGGCATGCCTCCCCCGAGGGAAGCTGATCCCGGTCTCGGCGATGGTTGTAATACTCGAGTTTCCCAAGTGGCCGAACGATTACCACCAACACCTGGGTCTAGGATCATCTGGCCTCGGTGGATGCAACCCATTGCGTTGGTTCTGGTGTCTGTTGCCAAGCCCCCAGCAAGAGGGAGGTGAGGATTTAAGGCGTGTGTGTGTGTGGATACCGTGGACGGGGCCGTGGCATCTCCAACATATAACGTCGCCCTCTTAGCACTAGTATTATTATGTATGGAAGGCGCTCCCTGAACCCCCGTCGTCCGCGCACGCGCCTGGCCATCAGGCGCAACCCTCCGTTTCGGCGGTGCGCCCTGGAGGGCAGGCGGAGGGGGTCGGCCTCCCCAGGGGGCGGCGGGATTTCTCAGAACTCCTCCCGCCTTTTGAGAAGCCTTCCGAACCTTTTATGGAGCGGAGCCACATATAAACTGTTCAGAAGGCGCGAAGGTTTCCAAAAAGCTCTCGCAACCTGTGCCTTTCCCCCTGGGCCCTAGGCTTTACGCCCACCTCTGCCTGGCCCTCCGTCTTCGGCGCACCCAGCGACCCAGGTCGCACGAGGCTTGCGAGGAGGAGGAGGAGGAGGAGGAGGAGGAGGAGGAGGAGGAGGAGGAGCAAGGAGGAGGAGGACCAGGAGGGGGAGGAGAAGGATACGCAGCTGGCCTCGGCCCCTCTGCCTGGCCCCCTCCTCGGTGCACTGGCCGCTTCCGGCGCCAGGGAGCCGCCGGGGGAACTTGTTGCATGGAGGTGGTCTGCGAGTCCCCCCTTGCGGGGGCCTACCGCTGATCAGTCGGCGATGTCTGGCCGACTCCAGCTCGATGTTCGGCGGCGAGCCCGTGGGGGGGGGGGCAATAAAAAGGAGGAGGTCTTCTCAGAAGGCTCGGGAGTCCCCGGGCCGTCTGAGAAGTTGTTCAAGCCTTCCCCAAAGACACAGAAAACTTCTCAGAAGGCGCGAGGGCTTCTGAGAAGTCCCGCCGCGTTCTGCGAAGGCCTTCTCTTTCTCGCTAAATTACCTCCCTTGCTCGCCGCCGAGACGTGTCCTCCCTGCATCGCTCCTCATCACGAGCCCGTGCTGCCCGTGCGGATTTCTTCGGTCGGAGCTGGGCCTCCCTGGAGACGCCGCCCACGGGGCGCGTGACGCGCCAGGGAGGGGAGGCTGCACGGGGGCGAGCGGGGGAGAGGCACGGGAGAGGCTGCCCGCCGACCCGGGGCACTCGCCGAGCCGCCCGATCGCCCGTCGGCTCCCCGCGGGTCACGCGATGGGCCGCGCAGCCGGCTGCTCGGCGGGGCTCCCGAGGCCGCGGGGGTCGCGCCGACCAGAAATCTCCGCCCGGACAGTTTCCGTTTCACGCAGCCGGCAGCAGGCCTTCGAAAGTGTATGTTTGTGCAGTTTTGTTGGTCTAGGGCTGATCTAGGGACTGCGGGTACTGAGGGAGAGGGGTCCCGAGGCTCGTTCATCGGTTCCCTAGCTCCTGGGCCCTGGGGCCATCCGCAAGTTGCTCAGTACTGGTCCTGGGGGAAGCCCCGAGGTCCTTGGTCGGTTTCGCTCAGGGCCAGCGTTTCTCTTGCCAGGGTCTGTACGGGTGGTGGTCGAAAGGCTCGGGCTGGGATGGCTCGGGTCAGCGAGGTCCGAAGGCCGGACGCAGCCAGCACAGTCCAGCGACGCGGCGGCGGGATTTGCGAGGGCCCGCTCGCTCAACGGTGCCCATTCTATGAATGGGGGGGCCCGGCACTGTCCTGGAGCCCAGGGAGCGCGCAGATGACCTGGGAGCCGGGTGATCCATTGTCCAGTTCTCTTCGCGCCCGTACAGGACACCGAGCCCGCAGCTTCCCCCCCCAGATCCCCCCAGCAGTCGACCTGTTCTGCTGGTTGGCAGCGCTGTGAAGGTGGTGGCGCGAGGGGATGGCGGATGGCATTCTAAGAGGCCTGCTCAGAAGCTCACGATGTCTTCTAAGAAGGCCCCGTTCGTTTGTCGAAGGCCACCCCCTTTCGCGCCACCTCCTTAACGCGCCGCCAGGCACACTCCTGACCTCGCAGTCGGCCCGCTGGTTGGCCGAGCGACGGTTCCATTCGTCGCCCCTTTCATCCCAAGCCCATATTTTGCAGCGTCTGGTGGCCGTTGCTCGCTGGCCCGCGGAATATCGGAGCAACCACGCGCGCCCGACCGCCGTCGGAGCCAAGCCTTGCAAGGGATACATAGAGCTCGAGCGATACCTCCGCTGCCGATACAGATAATGGGGTTGGGGCCCTCCAAGGATGCCCGCACATTTTTGTTGTTCGGTCCATCCTTAGCCAGTTTCGCTGGCCAGGCCCACACGGGTAACCTCGCGTCGGCTTGCAACTTGGACGCCCAAGCCTGCATCCTTACATGGCGTCCTGATGACGTGTGGCGACATCAATAAACATTTTCCCATTTCCATCTTGCTTGTCCCCAGGTAGTTCACACATTTGAAGGGCCCTTGTCAGGACCACCCTGTGACGGCCAACCCGGAACTTGGGCATTTCGAGTGCGATTCCTCAGATTTCTTGCTGCTGGTGTGCGACGGCGTGTCCGAGGGCGACTTCTCCAACGCCGAGGTCGTGAAGCTCGTTGCCGACACATTGCGCAAGAAGGAGGACCCAGGCGGGCCTAGGGCAAGACCCTGCACGTACCTTTCCCCCAAGCGTGGATTACCAAATTCCCTAGGGTCTGGGAGGCCAGGAGGCGATACGCTCCCCACGCCCCACGGATAAGTCTCGATCGTGCGCGTTTCTGTCAGAGGTCACTTCCGCCACCCCCAGGCCAAAGAATGGCAAGCTATTATCGCCCCCGCTGCCCACCCAATTGCCAGGGACAGGGACATGACCATGCAACTATGGCCGCAACCGCCACCGCGCAACGCATTACTGGACATTCCCCGGTGTAGGCTCGCGAGCGTGGGACGTTCAACAAAATATGTACACAGTGTTTCGGGCGAGGGTCCGTACAACTTAGTGTATACACGCATATACATGTTTGGTCATTCACTGTCCCTGGGCGCGTGGCTGAAGCGAGGATCTGTGGTGCGGATTGTTGATGTTGTTGGCGGTGGTGGTTGCGGTGGTGCTGTTGTTGTTGATGGTGGTGGTGTTGTTGTTGACCTCTCACTCTTGAAGAATAATTATTGTTGATCCCCCTGCCCGGTGTACACTGTTTTTTTTCTACTGAAGTGCCCCTTCCGGGGTTCGCACCCTGTCTTTTATCAGGGAAAGTCTTGAGGGTCAAACTGAGTCGTTGGCTCCCGGGTTACAACAACAACGGCTCCCGCCTGATACTTCCTCACACTGTATTGAAGAATCGCGCTCTCGCTTTGAACTTCCTCGCAACTTACCACCGAACCGCTTCGCATAATATTTCCCACAGTTTATTTGGATGCTGGTCCTCGACACTCAGGAATCGCGCTCCCGCTACGTATTGCCTGGCGGTTCAAGCAGGACTCACGCTTCAACGACCCGCCCGCTCGACCCGCCCGTCGGGGCCTGCCCGCCCGACCAGCCCGTTAGTGACTGCAGTCGCCGCTCGCTGCCCTTCGCCCGCCTTCGATGCCCCTCGCTGCCCGTACTGGTTCCGCGGTTGCCTTCGCTCGCTGCCCTTCGAGGCCCCGTTGCTGCTCTCAGTGGCCCCATCGCTGACCTTTGTGACCGCATTATATGCCCTTCGTGGCCCCCGCTCGCACGCGCCTGTCGTGGCCCCATACGCATGCCCTTCGTGGCCCCCTCGCTGCCCTTCGTGGCCCCTTTGCTGCCCTCAGTGGCCCCGCTGTCGCCCTTTGTGGCCCCGTATGCGAATGCCCTTCGTGGCCCCCGCTCGCTGGCGCCCGTCGTGGCCCCATATGCATGCCCTTCGTGGCCCCGCTGTCGCCGCTGCCCTTCATGGCCCCGGTGCTGCCCTCAGCAGCCCCGTCGCTGCCCTTTGTGGCCTCGGATTTTATGCCCTTCGTGACCCACGCTGGCTTTTCTCACCATTTACTTGGGACTTGCGCTATCGCTCGAGACTTCTTCGCGGACCCACGCTTCAGCAACCCGCCTGCTCGACATCGTCGCCTGGGCCCGCCTTCCCGACCTGCCCGCTATGGGTCTGCCCACCCGATCTGCCCGTCTGGTTCTACCATTTGTTTTCTGCTCATTGCCCCCCTCCTGCTAAGTTCTCTCGTGCTCCATTATTCTCCCTCCCCCTTCCACCCGCCCTCTCTTCCCTTGTTTAGGGGCTGCACTGGATACACGTGGCAGGTAAGGAAGATATACCCCCAAGGGCGGGTACCGAGAGTTTTGGATATGAGTGGGACGTGAGCAGACAGGAGCGAACAGTCTTAAACTGATTGGTGTTGTTGGTGGTGGTGGTGGTGTTATTGTTGTTGTTGCTGTTGTTGAGGCTTGTTGCTTGTTGCTGCTGTTGTTTGCTGCTTGTTGTGTGCTGTGTGTTGCATATTGTTTAATGTTTGTGGTTTATTTTCGTCGTCCCCCCCAGCGTTGGTTGTTGTTCCCCAATCAGAGCTTGCCTGTGTAGGGGTCCTAGCGGATTCGCATGGTTAGGTGAGGTGTGGCACCGATTTCTGCGGCCCGCCCGGGTGCCCAGGTACCCGGGTGCCCGGGTGACCAGTTGCCTTATAGCCTTGTAACCCTATAGCCTTATAGCCCCATAGCCCCACAGCCCTATAGCCCAGTAGCCCTATAGCCTCATAGCCCTAGAGCCCTATAGCCTTATAGCCCTATAGCCGTATGGCCCTATAGCCCCATAGTTTTTTACAGCCTTGTATCCTAATCGCCCGATAGCCCCATAGTCCCATAGCCTTATAGCTTTATATCCCAATCGCCCCATAGCCCTATAGCCATATAGCCTTAGTAAAACCTTATAGCCCTAGAGCCCTATAACCCTATAGCCCTATAGCCGTATAGTTCTAAATGCATTTAGCCCTAGAGCCTTCTGATCATATAGCCCTATAGCCCCTGTGGCCCTATAGACCTATAGCCCTATGGCCCTATAGTCCTATAGCCCCAAAGCTCTAGAGCCTCATAGCCCTGTAGCCCTACAGCCCTACAGCCCTATAGCCCTATGGCCCTATGGCCCTATAGCCCTGTAGCCCTGTAGCTCTATAGACCTATAGCCCTATGGCCCTATAGCCCTATAGCCCCATAGCCATATAGCCCTCAGAAGATGTTCGGTTTGTTTCTCCGGTATCTTTTGCTGTTAATTGTCGTCGTCCCCCCCCCGTGACCCGGCACGCGACCCGCCCGTGACCCACCCGCGACCCACCCGCGACCCACCCGCGATTCACCCCACGACCCGCCCGCGACCCACCCGCAAACCACCCGCGACCGGGCCCGCCACCCACCCGCGATCCACCCTGCGACCCACATTGTTTAAGCGAGAAAATTTGGGCCTGCGGCGGGCCCGTTACATATTTGTACAATGTTCAGCGCCTGCGGCAGGCTTCTTCAGAGCCTCGCAAACTGCGAAAGGGCGTGCTCTACCGCTGCTGGCGGAAAACCGGGGGGGGGGGTCAATGGGGGTTCCCAGCTCGTCCCCCCCCCCCCCCCCTCGAAAACCAGGGGGGGTCACCACTGGTTCGAACCCCTCCCCCCCCCAGTCCATGATGACAAGGGGGGGGGTCACTGCTGGTTCGACCCCCCCCCCCTCGAAAACCGGAGGGGGTCACTACCAGTTCGAACCCCCTTCCTCCTCGCCGCCGGCAAACGATTCCCGCTCCTCGGGACAGTTGGACAATGGTGGGGATGCTGGGACAACGGGACGGCACGGTGGTGGTGGGGACAGTGGCGAGAGCACAGTGGTGGGGACGGTGGTGGTGGGGACAGTGGTGACGGGACAGCGGGACAGTGGTGGGGACAGTGGGACAGTGCTGGGGACGGTAGTGGTGAAGGCGGTGGTGAGGACAGTGGTGGGACCGTAGTACAGTGGGGAAAGTTGTGGGGACAGTGGGTACAGTGGGACAGAGATGGGGACAGTGGGGACGGTGGGACAGCACAGTGGGACAGCGGCGGGGACAGTGGGACAGTGGTGGGTACAGTGGGGACAGCGGGACAGTGGTGGGGACCGTGGGGAAAGTGGGGAGAGTGGGACCGTGGTGGGACAATGGTGGGGAGAGTGGGGACAGTGAGACACTGGTGGGGGCACTGGTGGGGACAGCGGGGACAGTGGTGGGAACAGTGGGGACAGTGGGACAGTGGTGGGGACGGTGGTGGTGGGGACAGTGGTGTGGGGACACTGGGAATGTGGTGGAAACAGGGGGACAGTGGAGGGTATACAGTGGTGGTGGGGACAGTGGTGAGGGCGGTGGCGAGGACGGCGGTGCGACAATGGGACAGAAGTACAGTGGGGACAGTAGTGGGGGTGGGGACAGTGGTGGGAACAGTGGGACAGCTCAGTGGGACAGCGGCGGGGACAGTGGGACAGTGGGGACAGTGGGACAGTGGTTGGGGCCGTGGGGAAAGTGGGGGGAGTGGGACCGTGGTGGGAACAGTGGTGGGGACAGTGGGGACAGTGCGACAGTGGTGGGGGCACTGGTGGGGACAGTGGGGACGGTGGTGGGAACAGTGGGGACAGTGGTGGTGAGGACAGTGGTGCTGGGGACAGCAGTGGGGGATGTGGTGCGGACGGTGGTAGGGACCGGGAGTCGTTTGCTGGCGGTGAGCGTGGGGGGGGAGAGGGATTCGAACGGTAGTGACCCCCCCGGTTTTCTGGAGGGGGGGGGGGAGGGGGGTTCGAACTGGTGGTGACCCCCCCCGATTTTCTATAGGGGGGGAGGGGGTTCGAACCGGTAGTGACGCCCCTCGGTTTTCCGGAGGGGGGGGGCGTTCTTCGAACCGGTAGTGACCCCCCCCGTGTTCCGGAGCGGGGGCGGGTTAGGGGAGGGGGGGGTTTGCCGGGGGGAGGGGGGGAGGGGGGGGGGTCCAGCAGGGGAGTGGGAGGATTTTCGGAGGGGGGGGGGAACCCCGGGTTCCGGAAGAAGAGGGGGGGGGGGGGGGGGGGAATTTTCCACAGGCGGTGGATCACGCTCTCTCCAAACTGCCGACGTCCCCGCCGCCCCCTCACTCTTACCCGCAACTGCGGGGTGCTGCGTAAATAGAACTCTCCCCGCCCGCGGTCGGCCACTCCGCAACCATCTGCGGACACATTTTTACTATCCCGTCCCCGGGGCCTTCAAGGGGCCTCGAGACGGTCCAATCAGAGGCCTCCAAGACGGCCCCACGAGGCCCCCAAGATGGTCCAAGAGGGCCCCGAGACGGCCAAAGACAATTCCAAGACGCCCAAGATGGTTTCAAGACGGCCAGACGCTACAAGAGGCCTCCAAGAGGCTTCCCAAGATGGCCCCAAGACGCACCAATTGTTGTTTTTGTTCGATCGGTTTCCTGAAGCTCCAAGACGGCCCAAGAGGCCCCCAAGATCGCCACAAGACGGCCGAAGAGGCCCCCAAGATGGCCCCAAGACGCCCCAAGAGGACCCCAAGACGGCCCAAGAGGGTTCCAAGACGTCCCAAGGGGCCCCAATCCGTAGCCATTTTGGATCAAGCTGTGGCTCTTCAGGTCGCGCGCGCCGATCCAAGATCACGCCGGCAGATCGCGCTTCGCGCAGGCTTTGCCGTCGCC